TCTGGCTATGTGGATGTAGCCAGCAGCCTTGCAGCAAAGTGATAAAGCCCATGTGCGACATGCAACAAATTCATGTAGTTCTTATTTGTAACAATTTTATTGTATTTCACTAATGTTGTGCCAAATTCGTTAAGAAATAGCATCATATCGGGGATATGGAAAGTGAAGAAGATTGTGTCATGCTTGTAAGCATTGTGTTGCATATTTGAGACAATTATAGGACAAAGTCCTTATGGAAAAATTCAACAAAAGATTCATATGCAACCATACTGCCATTAATTTGTTGCAAGTTGCACCATTTATCACGCTATCAGAAGACAAACTCCTAATTACTATCTATGAACTCTTTAACCAATTGCCCTCCAGAGCATTTACCCCCCCTTCCTGACCAGGCCATTTATTGCGATACGGAGCTGCGCTAATTTAACTGACAATTGCGCGGTTATGCAATGCTGCACCAAAATTAAATGTATGTCCTTTTTTTCACAAAATTAGAGCTTTCTTTTGGTGGTATTTGATCACCTCTGAGTTTTTTATTTTTTGCGCTATAAACAAAAAAAGACTGACAATTTTGAGAAAAAAACAATATTTTTTTCTTTTTGCTATTAAACATGCCCAGTAAAAACATTTTAAAAATCTAATTTTGTCATAAATTTAGACCAAAATATATTCAACTACATGTCCTTGCTAAAACAAATCCCAATACGTGTATATTACTTGGTTTAGGTGAAAGTTATAGTGTCTACAAATGGCGGTATAGGTACTGGAAGTTTATTTTTTAGGTTTTTTATTTATTAGTAATGGTGGCGATCAGCGATTTATAGCGGGACTACAGTACTGCGGCAGACATTCTGGCACTGGAGGAAACTGACTTGGTGTCACTGACATCCTCAGTGACACCAATACAATGATCAGTGCTAATAAAAAGCACTGACACTGTACTAATTGCACTGGGCAGGAAGGGGTTAACATCTGGGACGTTCAAAAGTTTAACTGTGTGCCTGCTTCAGTGTAAGCACACTGCTTTGTATGGCTCCACTATGCCGAGCCAAACAAAGCAGTGTGCAGGAGCTGACAGGGGAGAGATCTGTGTTGTTATACACAGGTCACTTCCCCGTCGGAGATATTCAGCGATCACCGGGTGTAGCAAATAATCACCGGCCTGGACCGGTGATTGACAGAGGCCACAAAAGGCAAAATCTTGCGTATATATACATATATATATATATATATATATATATATATATATGATTTTGCAAACCGTGCCGCCATGTTGCATTATTTCTGCTATAGGGCGGCGCGGAACCAGTTAAAGAAAAAAAAAAGGTAGAAAGAAACATCACTTACATATTTTCAATATATCCATATTGTAATATAATGTAACTTATTGCAGGGAGCAAATTTTATAACAAGCCTTTCCTTCCACTTTAAGTACTATCTAAGTTACTCACCTGGATAATGAATATTAAGGGCCAGTTCAGACCACATGCAGTCCAGTGCATTTTTTTCTGCATCAAAATGCATTAATAGTAGGTTACATGGTTAACAATGGTATAGTTCACACCAGTGCAATCAGTTCCAGTACGTTCCAGTTCCAGAAAAAAAGCAGAAAATGCTGCATTTCTTTCTGCACTGAACTGTACTGGACTGCAGTAAAATGCATAAAAACACACCAAAATGGGACTGCCCCTAAACGCACCCAAAATGCACTGGAACGCACATGTCCTTATTTAACCTCCCTAGTGGTCTGATTATGTCCATATTTCTGTGCTCAAAGCGGTACATTTTTGTTGCATGGAAATAGGTAGTTTTTTTTTTGTAGGCCTGTAATTCTTAGAAATAACTCACTGAAATCTATCCAAACAAGAGTCTAGTAAACATCCCAGGTATAATAAAATTTGAAACACGAATTTATACATAAATTATAATATAATAAATAATCATAAAAAATAATAATAATAACTTTAATTCAATAATGTAATCAAACCAAAAACACTGAAATTTTAAATATAGCGCCAAGTTTGCACATCACTGAGCTTAGTCGCAAAATCGTTTTCAGTGTCTGATTTCCCCGCGAATCATTATCACTCAATTCTGCAAGTGGTTCTAATTTACTATTGCTGTTATCTAGCTGGTCTAAAATCGCTTTTGACCTAAAGGGACGCTTTTTGGACGCCATGGACGTTTCTCAGTTTCCAGGCAGAAAGAACAGTAAAAATGCAGGCAGGGCACAGGACAAAGCACTAGGGACAAAATGTATGTGAAATGGTTTGATACAATAATGTTATACTATGAGATTTTAGTGTATTGAGTGAATGTCATTTTTTACATTTTTGAATTTCCCGCCGGTTCCGTCCCTGTAAGTCCCGACGCTCGCAGGGAACGGAACCCGGAAGACAAATGCCGGCATCGGCCGGAGGCGATGGCTGGGACGCTGCAGGGGAGACATCGCGGGAGCGAAGGACAAGGTAAGTGCTGGAGGGAATCCCTGAACAACGCTGCAGGGTAATTCTGAGAGTAGCTCGGGGTTACCGCTTTTGGTACTGAAAGTTAACCCCGAGCTACACTCGGGAATACAACTAGTGAGGTTAAGTTGAAGAAAAATAGAGGGGGGGAAATAAACTGGAACGCATCAAAAAAGCATCAAATACACATAAAAACACACCAGAATTCATCAAAAATGTGCATGCAGAAATGCATCCGGACTGCGTTTTTATAGTGTAAACCAGCTCTAAAGCTTATCTAGATCCAAAAGAAAAATGTAATATATTGCTGCTTATGACTCCTTAGATGGAAAGCATGCATTAGCTTTCTTTTTTGTTTTCTTTTTTCCTTTCCTTATTTTCACCTGGTGATTCTGCTAGTAACATACTCATGCCCTAGAGCAGTGATCCTCAAACTGTAGCCTGGGGGGGCCTTTATCTGGCCCTTGGGGCACTATTCCTCCACTGATACGAAACACTATTCTTCCAACTGACATCAACAATGGGGCACCATTTCTCCAACAGACGCCAACAATGGGGCACTATTCCTCCCAATGATACCATGTGGTGCCTATGTGGTGATGTTTATTGATGCCAGGAAAATCTCCACTCCCGCTGGCCACAGTCCAAGCCCTCGTAAAGTCTGAAGGACAATAAACTGGCCCTTTGTTTAGAAATTTTGGAGACCTCTGCCTTAGAGTGTCCTGTATCCATAGAGAAGCAGCATTTTCATCCAAGGCCACTCTCCTGATTTTTTCTACGAAAACCTTCTCTTTTTCTCATCTTCATAATTTATGGCAAGGGGGGTATTCTGTAGTCTACTGAAGAAAACTGGAAAGACTGATAGCATTTCTTGAGGTTTCAGACTAGTTCTAGCTATTTTCTGTACTTGCGGAAAATGTACTTAGCCATAAAAAAAGAAACTAATGTTGACCCTACAGTATTCCCTATAACTGTTCTTTTATATGTGTAGTTGAAGCAGCAGACACATTGGGGCTGATTTACGAAAGGCAAATAGATTACGCACTTTCCAAGTGCAGTTGCTCCAGAGTTTAGTAAATGAGGTGAAGCTTCACTTTGCAAAGAAATCCCACTCATATGCACGGAAAATGAAAAAAAATAAAAGTTTTGCTTGCGAATGATTGAATTATAGAAGACAGAAGATCTTCCCCTCATTTACTAAGATCCAGAGCAACTGCACTTCCAAAGTGCACAGTCTTTTTGCCTTTAGTAGATCAACTCAATAATAAAAAGAAAGTAACTGTCAGTATTGGATGATGGATAGCTCCTTGTCTGTGTTTCCCTCCAAAGTTTTTACAGAACCTCAACCCTCTTATGCCACTTCATCATTGTGTCTTCCCAGCATTAGCTTTAGAAAAGGAGGAAACTGATTTATAAATACTACAAAAATGACAAATGGCAGCATTAAAAAATAAGTGACTAAGGCAGTTAAAGATTTTATTTTATTTTGGATAGACCTGGGAAGGGTTAGTCTGTCAGGTTTTTATTGTTGTCTGTGTCCCTATAGGTGAAATTTCCATTCCCTTTTGTCAAGGCAGGAAGTGATAGGAAATGTCTCCAACAGGGACATAAAATAAAAAAAAAATTAAAAAAACACTTAATAAAGCCTAACTCCGAGAGTTTTATTTTTTTTTTCTTACAGTAGGTCCCCTACACTGCAAGAGTTAAATACTCATTAGGTCCAGGGCTGCACAGAAAGAGAGTAAATACATACCTTACCCTTGGCTCCAACAGGGTCGCTCCAGCGATGTGACTGACTCCTATCACACTCCAGTCTCCTCATGATATAATACAGGGTAATGTCCCTTTATTCATAAAGTGTAAGAAACATATAAAAAGGGGGCCCCTGACAACGCTATTGATGATGAAACATGTAGGGAGGAGCCAGAGCATGTGATGTCATTGTGCACCGGAACATAGCGGCCATCTTGTTGGTTTGAAACTTACTACCAGAGACATGGTGACATGCTGTTTTGTACTTTATATGATGTACGTTTTTTACTGTGTTTGAGGCATTAACATATATTTTATTTACTACACTATGAGGATCCTTTTTATCTTTTGAATTGGACTGTCCTCTATGAGGATAATACTTTTTTAGGTTCATCCTTGAGTCCATTTAGCGTGAAGATCTAGATTTAATAAGTACCTAGGTCTATGGCTTGTCACTGGGGATCATACAACGCATTTTGACCCATCCTTAATCGGGGGTCATTACCATCCGGTAAGAGTCAGTTTGTTTGGTGGTGGTGAAGGATTCTTCCTCTTTCTCCTCTTGGCGTTTTTTTGTGACATTTATACCAGTGCTGTGAATCTGTGGGCGAGGCGCACATTCCCTATATGCCTCAAGTCTTGTGGATTGGACTTTTTTATATGTTTCTTACACTTTATGTATAAATTACTTTAGCGCTGCACCTTATATACTATGCCTACTGTATATTGTTACCTATTTTGGTGGCTGCTTATGCGGTTCCTGTCCACTTTAACTTCTTTATACCATAGCGTGGAATTATTTAGATTTTTTAATGTCCTTTTATTGTACATGGAAATGCTGATGCTCTACTCACAGACAGGGGCGGACTGACAACTCATGGGGCCCCCGGGCAATAGGGGATCATGGGGCCCCTGTGTCCTCACCCACACTCAAATCACACCCAAAATAGTCTATGAAAGGTACCAGGGGCAGTGCCTGATTTCCCAAATGGTCAGTCCGCCCCTGCTCACAGACCAGAGCTTCAGGCAGAGGAAAAGGGTACAGGAGCCAGCCAACGTGGGGTATAAGATAAGTGACAGAGTCGGCACTGTGCACCCCTAGACAAAACAAGCATTTAACCCTTGCAGTGAGGGTAGGCCCTACTACAAAGGTGTTTTTTTTTTTTTTTTTTAATTCTTGGAGATGGGCTTTAATTGCAGTGTAGTGTCAAAAAATGTTTTATAAATTATGTAAAAAAGAGCTGCGTTTACCCTACCAGCAGTTTAGTGATAAAAAAATTCTATATATCGAAATAAAGTAGTAGAATGAAAAAGTATGTCCAAATATCCACCAAAAGCAACAATTATAAATCTCATGAATATATATAAAACAATTATAGATAGAGTGCATACAAAAACATTACAGAATATAAATAGTCCAAAAAAGTGAAAATGTCCAATAGTGCCTGTTTTCTTTAACTACCCAAGTGATGATGCCTTTAAATGAAAGTGTTTAAAATGAATAAACTGCAACGCACCTCAGTGCATGCAAAAACTGGTGTATCCTGCATCTGTTAACAACCTAACATACAGGATATTGTGCATTGTGCTGTGCTACTGTGAGATGCAGTGGAGGTGTGTTCTGGAAGTGTGGTCGGGGTGTCATTTACAATCCATGGTGCTACATAAACATCAGCACCAATCAAATTGTGGTAATAAGCACATTAATGCAAGACTGCTGGTGTAAATGAATCCTTAAGCCAGCCATGCATAGATCGCTGCTAAACTGGTCGAATTTCAATCCATGGTCAAACTGGTTGTACAAATGTTAGGTAGATCCTGACCACATGGTCTAAATCTTTTCAGAGCTCAGACCAGCTGAGAGAGATCAGCCGACAACAGGTTTTAGCCAACTATTGGCTGAATACGGGTCAGAGGAGTGCAGAACTGACTGCACTCCTTGGATCTCTAGGAGAAGTACAGTGATATAAAAATTCTACACACCCCTGTTAAAATGCCAGGTTTCTGAGACAAAGACAAATAATTTCAGAACTTTTTCCACCTTAAATGTGACCTATAAACTGTACAACTCAATTGAAAAAAAAAAACTAAAATCTCTTAGGGGGGAGTAAACATAAAAAACTAAAATAATGTGGTTGCATAAGTGTGCACACCCTCTTATAACTGGGGATGTAGCTGTGTTCAGAAAAAAGTAATCACATTCCAAATCATGTTAAATAGGAGTCAGTACACACCTGCCATCATTTAAAGTGCTTCTGATTAACCCCAAATAAAGTTCAGCTGTTCTAGTAGGTCTTTCCTGGCGTTTTCTTAGTCACATCCTACAGCAAAAGCCATGGTCCGCAGAGAGCTTCCAAAACATCAGAGGGATCGCATTGTTAAAAGGTATCAGTCAGGAGAAGGGTACAAAAGAATTTCCAAGGCATTAGATATACCATGGAACACAGTGAAGACTGTCATCATCAAGTGGAGAAAATATGGTGCAACAGTGACATTACCAAGAGCTGGACGTCCCTCCAAAATTTATGAAAAGACAAGAAGAAAATTGGTCTGGGAGACTGTCAAGAGGCCTGCAGCAACATTAAAGGAGCTGCAGGAACATCTGGCAAGTACTGGCTGTGTGGTACATGTGACAACAATCACCCGTATTCTTCATATGTCTGAGATATGGGGTAGAGTGGCAAGACAGAAGCCTTTTCTTACGAAGAAAAACATTCAAGCCCGGCTACATTTTGCAAAAACACATTTTAAGTCACTCAAAAGCATGTGGGAAAATGTGTTATGGTCTGATGAAACCAAGGTTGAACTTTTTGGCCATAATTCCAAAAGATATGTTTGGCGCAAAAACAACACTGCACATCACCAAAAGAACACCATACCCACAGTGAAGCATGATGGTGGCAGCATCATACTTTGGGGCTGTTTTTTTCAGGTGGAACTGGGGCATTAGTCAAGGCAGAGGGAATTTTGAATAGTTCCAAATACCAGTCAATACTGGCACAAAACCTTCAGGCTTCTGCTAGAAAGCTGAACATGAAGAGGAACTTCATCTTTCAGCATGACAACGACCCAATGCATGCATCCAAATCAACAAAGGAATGGCTTCACCAGAAGAAGATTAAAGTTTTGGAATGGCCCAGCCAGAGCCCAGACCTGAATCCGAATGCAAATCTGTGGGGTGATCTGAAGAGGGCTGTGCACAGGAGATGCCCTTGCAATCTGTCAGATTTGGAGGGTTTTTACAAGGAAGAGTGGGCAAATATTGCCAAGTCAAGATGTGCCATGCTGAAAGACTCATACCCAAAAAGACTGAGTGCTGAAATCAAATCAAAAGGTGCTTCAACAAATGATTAGTTTAAGGGTGTGCACACTTATGCAACCATATTATTTTAGTTTTTTTATTTTTATTTCCCTCCACCTAAAAGATTTCAGTTAGTTGTTCAACTGAGTTGTACAGCTTATAGGTTACATTACAAGGTGGAAAAAGTTCTGAAATGATTTATCTTTGTTTCATTTTTTTACATCACAGAAACCAGACATTTTAACAGGTGTTTGCAGACTTTTTAAAACCACTGTATAGCCAAAATAGCTTTGGCTATACTTCTCCTTTGAAGTAATTGTAAACCCAAAACTTTTCTGTCTGTGCACTGTCCAGGGAATTTCACTTCCTTTCCCGTAGACACAGCAGGAAATAAGAGAAGGTATCTCCAAAGCAAAGAGAAATACCATTTTAAACTAGCAATATATGTGTAGATTTGTCTTGCACAGCCCCTGGGGCTGTAACTGCCTACAAAGTGTTAGCTGGAGTGTGAAGTTAGCTGAAGTTTAATGTGTTAATCAAGTCAATCCAAATTTGCATCTAACACTACCTTGTCCCTGGATTGACAATGCTGCTGTCCAAAGGGGTCTCTGTTGCCCTTTTATCCATTGTGGAGACACCATAAGACAGTAAATGTGTTCCTGGCCAGATCACCAGGTGAAAATAAAGGGAAAAAAAACTTTAAAAAGGAAAACTAACGTAGCCATCACATTTAAGGATTTGTAGAATGCAATATTGGGGTTTTTGGGTTTAATAGTGCTATAAAAGCATGTTTTGCCATTCAGAAAATCCCTTTTCTTAGATCTTTAACAGATACTTTTCAATTAGCAGATAAAAAATTATATAATGAAAATGTATTCCCATTATATTTAATTTCAAAGTCCTAAAAGTCACAGTTATTTATGTAATAGTTTTAGTTGGAAGAAATTCTTAAGTACAGTTTATGCAAGTGTACAATCCCTGTGCTCCGGAACCTCGGTTTACACAAGTGAGAAGCAACGGCATAAAAGGGATATAGTTGTCTTCTAATTGGCCTCCACCAATTAATCACTAAAATACATGCTATAATTTTTGAATAACTCCCCACAGTTAAGGGAGTATTATTTTGGTTTTAAATCTAAAGGACAGCTGTGAAAACCAAGACTTAATTCCCAAAGACATAAGAGATAAACTAGAACAACTGTATAAATGATGAAACAAATGTAAAACACAATATCTTAGTGTTTGGATGTCCCAGTGAGTAGGTTCATCAGGAAGTGGAAACTTCATCAGACCACTTGGAGGCTTCCTTTTAATTAAACTCATTTCTCAAAACTCTCTCTGTGGACAAGATTGAGGCTTGTGACAGGAACCACACAGGGTATGATCATTTTGTACTGTCAGTCATATCCAGAGTTCTAACATAACAGAAACCTCTATGGAAGTGAGGACCAAAAGATGGAGTGACTCACAAACGACTATATGGAATTGGGTATAATGTTTACCAAAAAGGTAATAGAATGTTTTAAGCTGCTCACACACTATAAGAAAATTAGAAGAAAAATTCTCTATGAGGAACAATCAGCCAATTATCTGATCGTTAAAATAATGCTTTTGACAGCCACTTCCGAATGCTTAGATCAAAAAAAAGGTGCAAGCTAGAAAATTTTTTTCTGATGAAGAAGGGACACCCTTCCAAACGCATCAGCTATACTGAATACTCATCCCCTTGATGGGATTCGCGCTATCTTCAAGTCCCTTTGAGGACTTACATGCCTGATTGCATTCGCTGTTTGTGAGTATATTTTTTAAAATTAATACATTTTGGTTACTGAGGTAATGCGCAAGGTTGGTGCGCTTCTCGTTTTCATTTCATTCTGCAGTATTGGTCGGGCTATTTTCGAGCCGCACAACCCTTTATGCATTGGTGGATGATTTCTCCAGGTCTGGTTCCATCCATTCGCCACCTGTCTGGGTCCTAGAGCGCAGGAGAATTCGTCTTTGATTTACTGTAGTACCACAGTTGCCGCATCTTGCTGTGGTTTTGCCGCATTTTGCGTTTTCTCGCAGTCGGCAGTTTAGGGCTCATGTACGCAGAGCGTTTGAAAAACTTCTCTGAATGCTAGAAACTGACTGCTAGAAAACGTAATTTAAAAACATCAGTTTAGCCATGTTTACCTACAGCGTTTATGCATGGTTAACTTAGATTGTAAGCTCCAAGGAGTAGGGCCCTCCTAACCAGGGGCGGACTGATCATTTGGAAACTCAGGCACTGCCCGAGGGCCCGGGGTCAGTAGGGGGCCCCATGAGATGCCCCTGGTACCTTTTTCATAGGTTTTTTTGAGTTTGGGCAAGGACGCAGGGGTCCCATGATCCCTTATTGCGTGGGGGCCCCATGAGTTGTCAGTCCGCCCCTGCTCCTAATCCTCTTGTATTGAACTGTATTGCTGCTGTATTGTCTCCCATTATATTGTAAAGCGCTGAGCAAACTGTTGGCGCTATATAAATCCTGTATAATAATAATAATATTTTAGCTGCATTTATGCGC